AGTTTCATTCCATCTTGACCCGACGAAGACAGACCCCATATCGGTTGGAGAGGAGAATGAAACATTTCTTATAAACGTGTAGAAACTTTTTCCTAACATACGTGTTTAAAACTGTGAGGCTGATGGCAATACGTAACGGGCCGAATTAGATAATATCTACTAGCGTTGGGATTGAACTGTTACAAATGGTATTAGAGCCAAACATCAGACAATGTGTAAGCGAGGACGTTAGCCCCCAAGGGGGTGGATTATCAAATAGTGTGTAAGTGAGGATACTGGATACTGGCCCCCAAGAGGGTGGATTGTGAGATCCCACATCGGTTGGAGAGGAGATTGAAACATTTCTTATAAAAGTGTAGAAAATTTTCCTCAATAGACATTTAAAATCGTGAGGCTAACGACGATATATAACGGACCGAATCAGTTAATATCTGCTAGCGGTAGGATTGGACTATTACAAATGGTATTAGAGCTAGATATCAGACAGTATGTAAGCGAAGACATTGGCCCCAAAGAAGGTGGATTGTGAGATCCCACATCGACTGGAGAGGAGATTGAAACATTTCTTATAAAAGTGTAGAAATCACTCCCTAACAAACGCGTTTTAGAATCGTGAGGCTAAAGGCGATATGTACCGGGCCGAAGCGTCAATATCTACTAACGGTGGGATTAGACTGTTACAAATGGTATCAAAGCCAGACATCGACCGGTGTGTCAGCGAGGACACTAGGCCCCCAAGGGAAGTAAATTGTGAGATCCCACATCGGTTGGACAGAACAAAACATTTTTTACAAAGGTGTAGAACTTCTCTCTAGTTTTAAAACCGTGAGGTAAATAGGAATGAAACATTTCTTATAAAGGTGTAGAAACCTCTTCCTAACAGATACGTTTTAAGACCGTGAAACTAATGGTGATACGTAACAGATCGAAACGAACAATATACTAGCAGTGGGATTGGGCCGTTACAATCTTTTGACTTCCTAGTGCCATTTTCTCCTTTGTAGGTTGGTCCACCAACTGTGCAAGCTGGTTTTCAAATTCTAAGGTCCTCCGTGCAAGAGCTTATATGCAGTGACATTTTGACAATTGCTGAGGTCCATACACATCTAATAATTGCACCTTTACCATTTTTGTTTTGGGTGCCTTGGATTCTTGTTGAACTAGAGTACATACACATTCATCATTCTCCCCATTTCTAAAATTCTTAGGGTCGCGACCACTCTATCTATGTCGGTGTCGGTGTAACAGTCTAAGTCCACCGCTAGCAGATATTGTTCGTTTTGGTTCGTTACGTATCGTCGTCAGCTTCATAGTTCTAAAACGCGTCCATCTATTAGAAAGAGGTTTCCACACTTTTATAAGGAGTGCTTTGTTTCCCTCTCGAACTATATAGGATCTCATAATCCACTCCCCTTGGGGGTCCAATGTCTTCACTGACACACTACTTAGTGTATAACTCTGATACCATTTGTAATCGCCCAAATTCACTGCTAGCAGATACTGTCCGTTTTGACCTGTTATGTAACACCGTCAACCTCACGGTTTTAAAATGCGTCTATTAGGAAGAAGTTTCCACACCCTTATAAGGAATGCTTGTTCCCTTCTCCAACCGATGTGAGATCTCACAATCCACCCTTCTTAGGAGGTCAGTGTCCTCACTGGCACACCGCTCGCTATCTGGCTCTGATATCATTTGTAACAGCCCAAGCTCACCGCTAACATATAGTGTCTGTTTTGGCTCGTTACGCCATCAACCTCATAGCTTTAAAACGCGTCAGTTAGGAAGAGGTTTCCACACTCTTATAAGGAATGCGTTGTTCCCCTCTCAAATCGATATGGGATCTCACAATCCACCCTCTCTCGGGGGCTGAGTGTCCCCACTAGCTAGCAGATATTGTTCGTTTTAGCCCATTACGTATTACCTTCAACCTCATGGTTTTAAAACACATCTACTAGGAAGAGGTTTCCACGTCCTTGTAAAGAATGTTGTGTTCCCCTCCCCAACTGATATGGGATCTCACAATCCCCCCTTGGGGGCCAGTATCCTCACTAGCACACCTCTTGGTATCTGGCTCTGATACCATTTGTAACAGCCCAAACTCACAACTAACAGATATTGTATGCTTTAATTCGTTACGTAACGTCATCGGCCTCATAGTTTTAAACACTTTTGTTAGGAAGAGGTTTCCACACCGGAATACTTCATTCCCTTCTCCTATCGATATAAGATCTCACAATTCGTTTAGCAGTTTTAGGCTTAAACGAGAGTGCTCAAGACTGGAAGAGAGTTAATATCAGGTATCCATTACATGAGGGCTCCTTTGAAACTGATGCAGATTCCCCTGTTGTCTTCTAGCATTCCCACTCTCTCAATAACACAAAGAAACATATGCAAATGATATCATCAAAGCTTTGTCCATGTTTTAAAGCATAGGTTACTATGTATGATGAGTTAAATACATAGAACATTAGCAGCTAACTTGCAAGAAAAAAGCAGCAAAGAGTAGGCCTACATGCCAGAGCATGTGAAAGGAGAGCCCTACAAAAATTGGCACAACCGACCAAAAGGGTAAAGAAGGAGGACCAAAACATTTAAACTCCATAGATAAAGACCCTTTTTTGAAGGGTCATCTTTAACAGAAACCCCAGCTTTGAGGCATCATGCTTTGCCTGTGGAAACGTGCCCTTCCACTGTGCATTAAAGGGAAACATGCATGCGGGAATATAAAGATCTCAGAGCCTCCACTGTGCTTCTTCCCATGGCAGCTTCATATAATATCAACGCTTCTGGTTCTCTCCTCCTCAGAACATGGGTGCACCATCATCTTTAGCAGATATTGTCCGTTTTGGCTCAGTGACGAAGGCAATGCCCTTGTTCATGGCTGCTATGGAGAATTCAAACAGGGTTTTCTTGCAGTCTTTTGAAATGGGTAGCTTTGTTTTTGAGGTTGGAAAGCTTAGACGATGTTCTTGTAAGCTAAGTGTTATAAGCTAGTAGGAAGAGGATCTCATCCTTTGCAAGGGGAATCCAGCATCCTGGTCCGATTCAATCTATATATATATATAGCTATGTGATTTGCAAGTGTTCTTTCTTTTATATCAGATATATATCTTACTGTATTGAGTGTAATTTCTCTGCATCTGCAGCTGATTGATGTAATAAAAGTTTCTTCTTGTTCTTAATCCAATAGGGTTCGACCGATTAAAGCTTATATTCTTGATCAAAAGGTCAGTAGTTTGAACTGTTCGTGGCTTGAATATTTGTTTATCTTCACCCGACTCTTTAACCCACGGTTCAGTTGAGCTTCAATGCTTTGGAGTATTCCACATGAAGGGAATTTATGTCAATAGTTGCTCAAAATGATTGTTCGGGATCGAGGTAGAAGTCGGGCTTACAGACAGGTGAGTTTAACACATGTTTCAAGCGTGTGTTTAAGGCTTTCTCCTTTATCGAGTCTGACAAACATGAAAGCAAGAATTTGAGCCTCTAACCTACACGAGATGTGTAGATATGTTAGCCGTTGATACTTGTGTTGGTACTCGAAGTTCTCGTCTTTTTCCAATAGTTCAACCGATCAAAACTTATATTCTCGATCAAAAGGTTAGAAGTTTGAACCCCTCTCTTAGTTTAGTGCTAGTTCTTAAGTGATCTGGACTAAACAATCCAATCAAGCTAAAAGGAGTCTCATTTGAAGCTAGTTTTGTTTTTTCTCTCTCTCTCTTTCATGATGTCTAGAGTAGACTCGGGCCGAGTTCCGAAACACCGCATGAATGTGATAAATTTCGATATTTTAAGTTCGTTTCCTCAGAGACGATGAAAAATACTCAACATGGTAATCTGCTACTACATGAATAACCAAGAAAGTTAGTCTTATATCATCGACTAAGAGATTAAATATTCGAATGTTCATATCGACACGTTGAACATGTTCGTGTTTATAGCTCGTAATGAAACTCAACCATGTATGTAACTGGATCCGATCAGGTATCTGCAAGTTTGATATCTGAAAAAGAAGTCCCATAATTTGACTGTAGAAGCTCAGGCTATTCAGAGAGATGATCAGCTGAGAGACAAGGTGTGTGAGGTTACAAAACAAAACATAGTTCTTTTTTCTGAAACCATTGACCAATCTCAGCCTGTTTAAGAAAAGTCTGTCTCATGAACAGTTCAAGTGGGGCACTTTACAAACTACAGGCACTGTGGCTACAGTTTAATGATACTTTTCATGGGTACGTGGCAATACTTAAAAAGACAAGAATATTTGTGACTAATATTTTAAGTTTAGTCCGTTCCGAGACCCCGCATCGATTGGAGAGAGAAACGAAACACTCCTTCTAAGAGTGGAAATCTCTCCCTTCTAGACTTGTTTTAAAACTGTGAGGTTTACGGCGATACGTAGCGGACCAAAGTAGATAATACATGTTGGTGGTAGGCTTTGGCGGTTATAAATGGTATTAGAGCCAGTCACCAGACGGTGCAAGGCACTAGTCGGAGTAGGGTTAGACTCTTTCCATAGTAGACGCGTTTTAAAACTGTAAGGCTGACAACATACATAACGGTTAAAAACGGACAGTATATGCTAGCGGTGAGCTTGGGCTGTTATAAATGGTATCAGAGTCAGTCACCAAATGGTGCGAGACACTGGTCAGAATAGAGCTAGACCCTCTCCATAGTAGATGTGTTTTAAAACCATAAGGCTGATGGTAACGAACCAAAGTGGACAATATTTGTTACTAGTAGGCTTAATCAGTTTTAAATGATATCAGAACTAGTCACTGGACGGTGCGAGGTCCTGGTTGGAGTAGGGCTCAACCTTCTCCATAATAAATGCGTTTTAAAACTATAAGGCTGACGACGATACGTAACGAGCCAAAGCGAACAATATCTGTTAGCGGTGGGATTGGGCTGTTATAAATGGTATCAGAGCCAGTCACCAGACGGTGCGAGACACTGGTCGGAGTAGGGCTAAATCCTCTCCATAGTAGACGCGTTTTAAAACCGTCGATACGTAATGAGTTAAAGCGGATAATATTTGTTAGCAGTGGGCTTTAGCGGTTACAAATGATATCGGGGCTAGTTATCGAACGGTACGAGGCACTGGCCAGAATAGGGCTAGATCTTCCCCATAGTAGATGCATTTTAAATCCGTAAAGTTGACGGCGATCCATAACATGCTGAAATAGATAATATCTGCTAGCAATGGACTTGGAGGGTCGAAAAGAACCATTACTTTGAGTTGACAAACAGTTCACCTTTTCAGCCTTAAAAATCCCAAAAATTTCTAAATCATGGCAACATTAGACAACACAAAGTGCAGATTTGAGACAAGTTTAGGGAGACTAAATGGAAGGTCGTTGTCACTTTTTAAGTCCACTACGAGCAGTCTGTCCAATAAGAAGTTGACACATGGCAAGATTGTCGACCATGAGTTTCTTGACAGCTCCCATCTTCTTTTCTGTTCATGTGTGGATCTCAAGACAAGAAATTTCGCTGTCTTTCTTTCTTTCATTCAGACAGTAAAATGTTTGGTTCTTATGTTATTATTAAATATTAAACTTTGTGAATATACTAATTGCAGATCAAAGTGAAAAATGTAACCTTTATTGGTCTATGTAAAGGTCTCTTCCAATGGCTTCTGCTGCAACTGACAGAATACGTTAAAAAGAAGTAGCTAACAAATCAAAGAAACTTATTGGGGAGCGTTTATGAGTTTAATTCTTTTAAAACTTAAATAGTTATCGAACGAGATATTAGATTTGATGTTTAGGAACAAAAGCGACCAAACCCAGCTAAAGTCGTGCTAAAGATCTTAAACGAATTTGCTTGTCCTTTGCTCTGGTCTCAGTGTGCGAGGAGCAAAACATTCTTGTCGTATTATTCACAACGATTCTTGGCAACGGATATCTCGACTCTCGTATTGATGAAGAACGTAGCGAAATGTGATACTTTGTGTGAATTGTAGGATCCCATGAATCGGTTCATAGTTTTAGAACAAGCAGACATGCCACATCAGACTCTTTAAGCCCATGGTTCAGTTGAGCTTCCACATGAAGGGAATTCATGTTAATAGTTGTTATTAGATCGCATGGATTGCATGTATTCGTTATAAATGATTGTTCGGGATCGAGGTAGAAGTCGGGCTAAGGAACAAGTGAGTTAAACACATGTTTCCGGCATGTGTCTAAGGCTTTCTCCTTTGAATTTATTGAGTATAACAAATGTGAAAGCAAGAAATTGAGCCTCTAACCTACACGAAATGCGTAGATATGTTAGCAGTTGATGTGTGTGTTGGTACTCGCTCGTCTTTTTTCAATAAGAACATTTTATGTCAAATTCAACAGATTAACGTTCAATTCGTTCATTGAACCATCCACGTGGCTGAGAGCCCTAATAGTCCAAACAGAACGATGCAATTTTCAAGAACACATTCTACGACTGAGCTAATAGTTCGAAGTCCATTTTCCAAGAACACAAAGGAGAAAGCTTTGATTTTTCAAACATTATCATATGGGACGAACAAAAATGCATACATATGAAATAAAACAGAAAGAGAATCTCGCACTTTTATTTTTGTGAGTCAGCAATGAAAACAATATTTGATTTTTGAAGTGAGAATGACCCACCAAAGTGTGTCGTTTTGGCTGTGAGATGAGATCCACTGCCTATGGCTAAAAGCCAATCGTTGCATAAAAATGAAATCGTAACTGTGAGGTTTCACATTGGTTGGAGAGGGAACGGAAACCTTTCTCTAACATATGCGTTTTAAAATCGTGAAATTGATGGCGATGTATAATAGGCTAAAGCTAGACATTGGGTGGTGTATTAGTGAAGATGCTAGACCCCTAAAGACGGTGGATTGTGAGATCCCATCTTCGATGTGAAAATGTTTTTGAAAGTTAAAAAATGATCCTCTCTATTAGGTGTGGGCTGGCTTATAAAGAGGAAAGGGATTAATTAATGAGGGGAAAAAGGTGAAACTTTGTTAAAGCACACTTGTCATTCAAGAGATAAGTAGCTTTTGTGTGTCAGAAAGCTTTCGGCTTATGGAAAAAATTGGGTGAGTATATGAACAAGGAGACACCGCGCCACACAAATCATCCACCAGGCCCAAGTTGTTGACAAGGATACTCATTTTTCCTTGCGGCTGCGCTCTTTCTCTCTTCTTCCCAAAGCCATTGATACCCATTTGTTCAACCCGAGTAGCTATGGAGTTCAATTTTTGGGCCTCAAGAGTTCATCAAGCCGCCATGTTTCATTCTGGTATTGTTTTTTCAACTTTTTTAGTGATTCTCTCATCTGGGTTTCTTCATTTTGCTTTCATTTTAAGCTCTATTGGGTTTTCTAGTCTTGATTTTGCAAGCTAAGAGAAGATCTGGGGGAGATTGTGGCATTCTGAGTTCTGATTTTGCTTTTTTTGAGTTGGAATTGAGTTCTTGAGCTTATGAATTTCATGGCTTGTATGATGATGTTTTGAATAGGTAACCATATAATTCTGGATGATTCGGATGGAGAAGATGATTCAGGAGCTTACTTTTCATGCCCTTACTGTTATGTTGATATTGAATTTCCAGTACTCTGCAGCCATTTGCAAGAACAGCACTGCTTTGACTTCAGAAATGCAGTAATTACATGCTTTCATACCCCTATATTCTTTTCTTCATTCAATCATTACTTCTTCTGGCGTATGAGTAATTGCTTATGAACAGATAATTTTGTGTTTGCTCTATGTATAACCTCGCCTAAACTCATTACTAGCAGATATTGTCATCTCTGGGATTTCCTTCACGGTTTTAAAACGCGTCGGCTAGAGAGAGGTTTCCACATCTTTAATCGGTTGGAAAGGAGAACGAAGGATTCTTATAATGGTGTGAAAATCTCTCCAAATGCATTTTAAAATCTTGTGGGAAATCCCGGAAGGAAAAGTCCAAAAAGGACAATACTTGCCAAATGATATCAGAGCCAGACATTTGGACCGTGTGTCAGCGTGACGCGTTTTAAAACCTTGAAGGGAAAGTCCAAAAAGAACAATATTTGCTAATAGTGGACTTGGGCTGTTACAAATGGTATCGAGCCAAATATTAACGTTGGGTCTCCAAGGGAGGTGTTGTGAGATCCCACATCGATTGGAGAGGAGAACGAAACATTCCTAAGAAGAGTGTGGAAACCTCGAGCGGAAGCTTAAAGAGGACAATATCTATTAGTGGTGGGCTTAGACGGTTACGTTAGGCATAGGCATAATGTACTTTGAATGAATATAAAATTTTTTGACATTCATGAGAATCTCTAAAGCTAAAGCAAGAATGATGTAAAGTGGAAGTTAGATTCATTAAGGGGCTACTTTGACATTGGTTTCTCTCAGGTTTGTCCCCTATGTGCAGCCAGTCTGGGGAAAGATGCACTTGGCCATTTTATAGCTCATCATTCAAGCTCCATAAAGGTACTATCTGCTGTTCAACTCATTGCTTCCATGGCTGTAACTGAGGATTTGCTTAGAACATAATATTACCATCTTAGCAGAGAAGGAGAAGACCAGAGAGATCTGTCTCTTCTGCATTTAGTTCCAAGAAGCTGACAAGAAAGAGCAGGGGGAGTAAAAATGGATCTGCACCTGATCCGCTTCTACCGTTTATCTGCAGAAGTCCTTTCTCAGACACTGAATCCATCGATCGAGACAACCGTTCTGTAAACGATGCCTTGGTCGCCACTGTTGTCGAAAGGTTAGTAGTTTCACTGGTAACCTTGTCTTCTGCTAAAAATTTAACCTGCAACTTTAATGGATAGGTTTACTGTGATCATTAACTTGGAGGGAAAAAGCCATTTTTCTGGTTGAAGTGTACTTTTTTCAATAGTGGTTTGTAAGGATCCAAGAAAAGTAAAGTAAAAGAAAAAGAAAGAGATTCCTGACAAATTTGATGGGACAATTTCCTTCTGATATGAACTTAAGCTAATATATTTGCCACATCTTATGAAACATAGTTTGGTTTCGAATTAAATCTTTTACACGATCAAAAGACTCTAAACTGGATCGATATTACAGTCTTCTTTAATGCATACCGTATCAATGTTTTGGCGATGTGTAGCTCAGCATATTAATGGGGTATTCTTTTCGATTTGCTTTTCCGGTTGGGCAGTAATAGGTCACAGTTGCTGGAAAGAAACAAGAACAGTGAAGAGTTGAATCAGAGAGCAGCTTTTGTACAACAATTGATCACATCAACCATTTTCTAGGTCTTTTCCCATCGCCTGTTGATATTCATCACTCACTAATCAGCTGCCGGGGAAGCTGTATCCATCTGCATAGTGTTCTTCCACTGGTGCTTCATTTTGATAGGAAATATTTCAGATATCAGTTAAGCCAGGACAAGTTTGTGTTCAACTGTCCGTTCGTACAATATGGTAAAAGCTGCTGTTTTACATATGCATATATATATATATATATAGATCTATCATAGTGAACTTGGTAGAAAACTCGATGTTCTTTTAACTATTAACTGTTTTCTAAGTTTAGATCTCATAAAGCCATGGAAATCCTAGCCCTTTAGCTAGTAAAGTAGCTGAGAAATTTTGGGTATGTATATATATCAATAAGGTAGACAAACAAGCTAAACTCGTTTACTTTTGAAACGTTCTTTTGTTTAAAGGACGACTGAATCCTAGAAAGAACTGTTATTGAGCATCACAACATTAGAGTAGCAAATCAAGTAATTTGGCAGTTCAAATATGGAGACTGGAAGAACCCACAAGCATGCTTATTCATCACACATTTATCAAGCTCAAACGAGCATCTAAAAGAATAAATAGTATCGATCAACTTATATCGACAAGGAAGTAGCAGCAGCCAAAAATGAATATCAAGCATAAGTGTATTGTCTATACAAAACTCTATCTGAAAGAATTTCAGCTATCTATTTCATGGTATAGTATATAATGACTATTAAAATTTAATGTGTTCAACAAAAATTTCAACATTTGTGTGTATCACCATCAGACCACATAACAAAACAATGTCACAGCTAAGAACATTGGCGACAG